AGTTAGAGAACCATTCCCAAACAAGGATGAAACAGCAGTTGTCCAGTACTCCCTGGCGGGTTTTCAATGATTCTCTAACTGATATCAATCCGTGATCAACTCGTAAAAACAAAACTAACCCTTACAAACCAGAATATAGAAAATTGCAGTATTATTAAGTTATGATATCATAGAATGTTTTCGGCTGTATAACTGAAACTTACCATTCCAAAGACTTAGTCTTTACCATATGTGAGCTGCTACATACATACTCCGTGCATTCTACAAATGCTGATAAAATAACTAGGCTTGGCTGGTTTTTATCTGGTCTGAAACATTTTCAGCGCTAAACACGTAATTCTCATTAGGTTTATAATTTAAGAGGGGATCTTAACACCAACTATGGTGACACTAGCTTGGTAACCGTATTCCTTTGATTACACTGATTAGTCATACATATTAATGAGCTCGGCTCACTCAGTAAGTTTTCATTTTGATGAATTTTAACCTTCTTGAGTTTCTATGTAGACGTACAAGCTAACATTGTTTATAGATTTTTTTATTTTCTGTCTTCTCTCACCCCTGCTCCCTTTTCTTCATAATTTGAAAGCATATAAACTGATGGCAACTTAAAGTAGAAATTGTAATGCTTATATTCCGGATGCGTTCATCTTATGATGTTTTCTTTATTACCTTTCAAACATTGAAGTATGAAATGTTCTTATTTACAACCACTGTAATTTTAGGCAGTTTGCAGATGATGAGAACCTCTGAAATAGAATGATGATAACATTTTATATTCTGCAAATCTGGGGTCTTTCTTTCACAATCAAAAAATTAATATTTTACTATTTCATGTTCCTAAATATCATTTTTTTTCCATGGATGAAATTGGGTCGTTAAAACTTGCTTATTCCTTATAAGTTGGAGGACTTCATCATGGCCTGACATCAGTCAGAGAACCATCGGAAAATCAGTAGGGAGCACTGAACAGCTGTTTCGTCAGCCTGGTATGGGACTCTCCGTCAGTACTCACCCACCAAACTAGGACGAAACAGCTGTCCAGTACTCCCAAGTTTTTCAATTTTTCCCTAACTGATGTCAGCTGATGATGAAATCCCCCAACCAATCAAACAAAAATCCCCACAAAACCAAGACTTGAATATTCCCGATAAGTCACAGGTGCGTTGTATGCCTTCTCCCCCTTCACCTTACTTTGATTGGTCATTTTAATCATAAGCTAGACAAATTTCTCTCCTTACCAATAAAAATGAAGTAAAGGATCACAGCTGCACTCAATAAAATGATGGTCGGGGATAGAAAAAAGGGTGGAATGTTTGATGTCCTTTCACCTTATCCACAACGGTTTAATAATAGAAACGATCTAGAAAATTTGCAGCCATTCTGAACTAACCCTTCTATCAAGAGATGATACGATGAAATTTCAAATGATGGACATATTTCCGTCTCAGTAGTGTGTACCTGATAGGCAGATTAATCAGGTAGTCATGAGAAGTCACATTGAATTTATTTTTAATGACATGAACACTGAAAATTTATCCGTGAATTTATGTCATGTATGTGTACGGCAATTTTGTGATCTGCAAAGACATGAAATAGACCTATGCATTAGATGAATGATGACTAGCAGTGGGATCTAGGATACGCATTTCATCTTATTTGGTACTCGTCAGTTGGATGTACCTTTATTCCCATTAGAGGATGGTGTTAACACTGAGACTCGATTAGCTTCCACTGCTAGTCACCATCCAACAGATTACTTTGTGCCAATCTTCAGACATTGTCTAGGCACCCGTGAGAAGTGCCTACATAGTCCCTAGAGACCAAAACTTTCTGTCTAATCAATCAGTAGAAAAATCAAATTAACTTACTATAGTTTTGGTTTGTAAGGATTAGTTATGTTTTACGAGTTGATCACGAAACCCAGAGGGTGCGTACTGCCGATGATTCCCAAACTAGGATGAAACAGCAGCTGTCCAGTACTCCCTGGTTTTCTATGGTTCTCTAACTGATATCAATCCGTGATCAACTCGTAAAACAAATTAACTTAAACAAACAATAAGCCTATTCGAAAATATCAAGGGTATATATCGAAACTTTAGCTTCACTTAAGACTGTATTCTGATGATTTATTTAAATGATTAGTTGAATACCAATCATACCAACCAACGGCGCTTGCTAGCCATTCAGATCGAAGTGATGTAAGCACTGGATGGCTGTTTCACTCATTTGGAGCCGAGCACATAAATAGTGTACCCAATTTTGACAGAATTTAAATTCTGCCCAGTGAGATTGATCAGGTGAGTATCTCAGTGAGAGTACAGTCTTTGACGTAGAAGTTATGCCGTCTGATAAGCCTACCTTTCTGAATAAACATTTGTCTGAAATCCTTTATCGGAAGAAGTTTGTATGCCAGTGTGGAAGAAATTATGACAATGAAATAAATGCTAATACAGTCCAGACAAAGTCACCTTTTATCCAATTTACTTTGAAGGTTTGACACTGCATCACAGATAATGAATAAGGGCATAAATGTGGCTCTGACTAAAACTTATTTAGTTACTAAACACATACACATACCACACGACCTGTTTTCAGTGAATCACATAATTAAAAAAGCTAGCTGTAAAACTAGATGTTATATAATACTCAGTAATATGATGAACCGTCAACCATTCTAACCATTAAACGGCTTTTTCAGCTAAATTTAACTGATCTGGGTAAAGCTTCCTCCTTTGCTTAGCTAAAAATATGCGTCATTAGTAATGTGCGGTGATTTGTCTGGCATATATAATGAGAATCTTTTAACAACTCTAGCTTCTAGTATCTGCTTCATTATTAACAATTCTCTTATCCAATTAGAACAGATATATCCATACTATGTGTCGGAAATTTGGCGAGCCACGAAAAGCATTTCAAACAGGCTACAGACTGTCATCAACATCTATCTTTGCTGGCTCTATATTTATTTTATTTTTTATTACAGTTTGATCCTACACCGTATTTTTGGTACAAGTATAGAATTTTCAGCATGGATATTGGTAGCCCAAATTTTGCAGGTCGACCATAGATATCAGATGTGCGTCGGCAGGGGATCGAACCCCGGACCATGCGCATAGTCGGCAAGAGTCCTAAGTACTGTGCCACCGACGCACAGTACTGAATATCAGATGGCCAAGTGAGAAAGAATTAGCAACAAGAAACTCTAGGAACCAGCCAATCAAGAACCTGTTTCTCAACAAATATACGGAAGAAAAGGGAGACTGATCGGACACACTCTGTGGAGATCATCAGGTGACATCGCATTCCAGGGAGTCGAGTGTAACTCGAATGGGAAATAGCAAGTTGAGCGTCCGAGTGTGAGAAGGTCGTGTGACGGGGGGGGTGAAAGCTTATTGGGGATCATGAGGCTAGATAAAGAGGGCTGCAGATAACATGATGAAATGGAATTTTTTTTTTTGAAGCCCTATGTTTCACTGGGAACCCTTGAGCATAATAATAATAATGCATACTGAAAGAAACAACCTCCTTCACCTACCTGGGAAGCATCGTCTCAACTACAGGCGGAACTGACGAGGACATCAAAGTCAGAATCGGAAAAGCAAGACAAGCTTTCATTACTCTCAAATCTGTGTGGAGGTCAACAGCACTCAGCATCAAAAATAAGATCCGGATTTTCAACTCCAATGTGAAGTCAGTCAGTGTTACTATACGGATCAGAGACTTGGCGAGTCATAAAGAGCATCTCAAACAAACTTCAAACCTTCATTAACAACTGTCTCCGCTCAATACTCAAGATCAGATGGCCGGTCAGAAAAGATCAGCAACAGGGATCTCTGGGAGCGAACCAATCAGGAACCGATTGTGAAACAAATAGGCAGAAAGAAATGGAGATGGATTGGCCATACGCTGAGGAAACCATCAAGTGACATCACTAGACAAGCCCTCGAGTGGAACCCGAAAGGGAGGCGGCGAGTTGGTCGTCCAAGGGTGACTTGGAGGAGGTCATGCGAGGAGGAGATGAAAGCATGTGGACAGACCTGGAGCAGGGTGAAAAAGTTGTCAGAAAACCGAAGTCAATGGAGGTGCGCAGCTGAAGCCCTATGTTCCTCTAGGAACTAAAGGATACAATAATAATAATAAATAATAATACTGTTGGCAACAAACTCATTCTGAAGTGATCTAACGGATATTCTTTTTTTTTTAATTCAGCGTAATCTGAATGGCATTCATTATAGAATTTTGCGAAAGGCTGAGACTTTTCAGTGCACTGGAAATTTACTCTAAAACATGGGTTCCTAACTATCCTGGAGACACGTGAAGTTAAAACACCTTAAGTTAACAGATGAATTAGGTGGGTAGGTGTTATATATGCCATAGATTCAAGTCTTCAACTAATGGGTGAATTGAATCCCCTATTTCGATTAAAAAAAATACAAATCAAACTTAGGAGTACTGGACGGTTATTTCTCCCTCGTTTGGAACTCTTCAACAGCGTGAGCCCATGACCCCATCATGACCTTCGGATTATCATACAACATATATCACAATTTCCAGCAAGTATCACCAGCGAGTGTTTGTCTTGCCATCCAACCTTGTGGATTCATGGGCAGTTATATTCTGTCCCAGTAAGTGAATAGCCATTAGGCTCCCCTAGTGTCTTGAAGGGCGTGGTTTTTATCACAAGTGGAGGCACTGCCTAAGGTTCTAAAACTGAGTTATAGAAACTGTCCATTACTCTCTGGTCTTCAGTGGTTTTCAAAGTGATATCAATCCATGATCCAAACTTAAAATCTACTCTTAGATCACCTAACGTTAATGCCATCAACTTCAGTAATAACTTTGATCTTCATATCTTCTTGGTTTGCAGTAAATTTCCACTGTCTTTTAATTTGGTTTCCCTAGAGGACTAATTTACATCAGTCTTATGAATACCAATATCTAGAATAGATGAACATGATAACAGAATCACAACACGTTATAAAAGTTGAAATACTTACTCTTCTTCCAGCTTTTCTATTGTGTAGATTCATTAAGGTCCTTGCTTTTGTTTGAATAATTTGTAATGTCTCTGCTTGTAGTTCTTTAGCTGAAAGAATAGAATTAGACCTATTCGAAGACTGACTAGACGTGGAGTCATTTGATGAACGAGGGAATCGATGTACTCTTTGGGATCTTCTCTGATTCTGCTGTTCATGATTATTAAGCCTCATTGAAGCTAACAACTGAATTCTTTGTTCGTGTAATTCTTGTTCTCTTTGTAAAGCAGCATTACGATGTTCTTCATCGTTTGCATCTAGAAATAAGCGTGCTAATCGCATACCGAATCTTATCGGATCACTACATCCACCCAGGTGAATACGCCTTCAGCATCTTGACCTTGACCTTCACGTCGATATGGATCACAGTCGCATGTCCCCATTTGACCGCGGCTGCAAGCACGTGTTATTGCCTGTACAACACCAGCTGACCAAGTAGATGAAAGGAAAGCCGTCTCCCTAGAACCTAAAATTAAAAAGGAATAAATTGAGAGGAGGGTTTTATTACCTAAATATTGAGGAGCACCATTCACCTGCTTACAAATGAATGTATTCAGTTATAAAAGTATGTTTAAAATGTTTAGTTGTAGATAAAGGCTGCGCTATCTCTGCATTTCTCCACTCACATGATTTCTAAGGGTAAACGTCTCTTGAACCCTATAATGGCTTTATAAGAGAATTTTCTGATAGATTTTCAGAAGAGAATGTTTATCAGATTGACATAACTTCAAGATTATATCGATTTCAACTGAATTCATTCCACTTTATAGTGGCTGGATGAAACTTTCACTGCATTTTCCAATGGAAACCAAATGATTCGGATCATAGTGTGTGAGCTGCTTGGTACTGTAAACAGTAATGCAGAAAGCACTTATAGTACCATGAGTTCCTACAGGTGGCTAGCCATAGATCGGATGGTTTTAACTGATTCTGTTCTCCTACCTGAATCAAACCGGCTACAGTGTTAATGCACCATGCCCTAAACTATCGAAACGGCCATCTTTTGTTTAGGTTACTTCTATAAACTGGATATCATGTATTACTGGTTAGTATGAGTGGTATACAAGTACTCATGTCAGTCAGTCCGTAGTATATAGTTGTAGTGGAGTAAAATTCAGTCCTGAAAGACTGAAATATTAGCTGTCCCAAAAGCTAACGCACCTATATTTTCTTAAGGAAAGACTATGTGTAATAGAATCATAAAAATTCGAAAAGCGATCTACCTTCCTTGACATAAAATATTTGGTTAGAAATTTCTCTCATAGGTGTCTTTGGACCTAAAATCTTTCTTCAAAAGATGACAATAGGTGATATGTAGGATAATACAAACGGCAATTTGAAACTATAAGTAATGTAGCAACAATGTGTCACCTACTATTAAATGTGAACATTAAGATCAGATAGAATTGCTTGCTAGGTAGATTGAGGTGAAACAAACACCATTAGGCCGCTTCACAGTAAGTCACTTCTAGTTATTTATATCCATCAGTAGTATATTCTGTCCTACTTCAACTCTTCAGGAAAATTATTGTTGCTCTAAAAATTAATCTGTAGAATGCATTTCACATAGGATGAATGTGTACACACCTTGAGGGTCAGCAGATGACATCGACAACAGTTGACAGAAGAAATAAATATTCGTCGAACTTGCATACCTGCTTAAAATTATATAATGCTGATTAATTGAGATGAGTACTTCTATACCACTCATATTAACCACTAGTACTTGAGATGCGGCTTATCGAAGTCACCTAAGCATCAGATGGCCTTTTTAGTTATTTAGGGCATGGCGCATTAGCGGTGTAGCCAGTTTAACTCAGATGTGAGCGAAGACTCAATTCAAATCACTTGATTTCCGTCTAGCTACTTGGACGAACTTGTGATACCAAAACTCAAATCCAAACATTCTAAATTAATTAGCTATATGCAATCAGCACAGCCCGAGGAGGTGAATTTTACCACACTGTACTTCAGATCACAGTATATCATCTGCCTGATGCTATAAATGGTACACGAGAAGGCGAGCATAATTGCGTAAAACAATGTAGTACTGTTTGATTGTGATGAGTAGCTTTATGTCACCCATATCTGCCATTAGTGCTTACTAACCAAATAGAGGCGCTCAGATTTTACTGTCTATTCGATCTTTCACTTTATTCCAAAATAATAAATATTTTCACTTTAGTTTCGTTCGGTATAACTGCTTATTGTTTTGCAGGCTATGCACACAACCGTTTTTCTTCTGGTTTAAATGAACACCAACATTTTCGATAATTTTATTATAGAAAGATTACCTACTCATAAGTAGCATACATTATTTGGCCGAAATTTATAGGTAGGAGTTCAAGTAAGAATAATTTCATGGCATTAATATTTCATTAAATGAAATCTATGTGAATACTTTCATTTTCTTAAGCTGTTTAGCCCCACAAAAAACACAGTGTTTGGATTTTTTTTGTATAAATCACAAAGAGTACCTGGGCATGTATGCGAATTTATTAGTAATAATAAATCGAGTTGAATAAATTAGTAATACACTGAAAATACGAAGTATTTATAAAATATCTGTAGAATTCGACCGTTATTTATACCAGCATGTAACAGTATTGTAGTGAGAAGAATTAGACAGTTAAACTGAGAAATACTTCATAGCTGTAGTGCTTCACCACGTCTTATTAAATGAACACTTACAATCTGGAATTCTTCCCATAAATAGATTAAAGTTTTCCTATAATAATATAGGGGACAACTGTAAACATCTTTGACGTATTCCATACTCCCATCTTCCGACTTACAACTTATTTCCTTACTCTTGGTAAGGCTACACTACTTTTTGCCTTTTTCATAAAAATAATTATTGTGTGACATGAAAATGTCGTTGCTAAACTTCAATTGAAGTTTCATTAGATTGTCCATGTAGAATTTTAAGTTAGAAAGATGCTACTACGATTCTTATAAAATCATTCGTTGACAAATAGAGAAAGTAGCTCAGATTAGTTGACGTCTCCATAAGGAGGGATGTTCATAGTAGGCATTTCATCCAGATATGAGGCTTGTGGTGACTTGATCAAATTTATACGGAACTTGTCACGAAATAAGCCATTCAGAGAATCATTTGAAGACAGGGACTGCTAAGCGGCTATGATACCATAGTTTGCAAATCAGTGGTTGTGTGTTTCAATGAACTTATCAGTAATTCTTAATTTTGAACAATGATTCTATAATTCTATAATGTGTCGGTGGCACAGCGGTTAAGGCGTTCGCCGACTTTGCACATGGTCAAGGGTTCGATCTCTGGCCGACGCACATCTGATATCAACGGTCGGCCTGCTAAATTTGGGCTATCGACATCACATGCTGAAAATTCCATAGTTGTACCAAAAAAGTGTGTAGAGTCAAGCTATAATAAAAATAAAAATAAAAACTAATTAAATTGTATTGTACATCATGTGTTTAGAGGAAACCGGCTGTGACTTGATTCCCACAAAATTTTCTCTACGCAACTGAATGGTGACTGAGACTAAACAGAAAAGCTTTGTAGTCAAACTATTAGACTTAGATTCATGAGTCAGGTAATCTACCTCCAAGCTACTGGAGCTGTCTACTGACTTCCCCTCCTTACTCCTCAACATTCTAAAGATTTTCCCAACTACCTTGTGCGTCTGATCCACAAATGATGGTCCACTCCCTATAAGCCACATTGTCTTCTTAAATTAGAACAAACTGGACTGAAAACTACTTTTCACTGATTATTAATAATTTAACATGCTACTGTTAGCATAACTCGTTTGTGGAACGAGTTATATTGGCCGCTGCTCTAGGAACTTGATTTTTCGTGTTCACTAGAGAACATGTTTTTTAATTTTTTTTGATTTTTGATTTTTGATTTACAGCTTGATTCCACACTGTATTTTCGGTACAAGTATGGAATTTTCAGCACCGATATCGGTAACCCATATTTTGCAGGCCGACCATAGATATCAGATGTGCGTCGGTGCGGGCTCGAACCCCAAACCATGTGCATGGTCGTCGAGAGTCCTAACCACTGTGCCACCGACGCAAGTGGCCCTAAAAAGAGCCGGTTTCACGTTCTCTGGCTCCCAAGCCACACACACACCGGTCTTAGGCCTTCACTTTGTCGGTCTTCTTGGGCAGCAGCACAGCCTGGATATTAGGCAGGACACCACCTGGGCGATGGTTACACCACCGAGCAGTTTGTTCAACTCCTCGTCATTGCGGATGGCCAATTGCAAGTGACGAGGGATGATATGGGTCTTCTTGTTGTCGCGCGCGGCATTGCCAGCCAATTCGAGAACTTCAGCGGCCAAGTATTCAAGAATAGCTGCCAAATAGACTGGAGCCCCAGCACCGACGCGTTCAGCGTAATTCCCCTTGCGCAGAAGACGATGAACACGACCGAATGGGAACTGAAGACCAGCACGAGTAGATCGGATCTTTGCCTTCGCACGAGACTTTCCACCTTTGCCGCGACCACTCATGATTGTAACGTTAGAGCAGAGAAACGTAAACATCCCCCAGTATGGCTAAGTAAAGGTAATAATAAAAACCATCAACAGTTCGATATTAGACCACCTGGTCCAAACCGGCCACAAAGATAGCCAGAATTGAAAAATCCTTCTCTATCATCTACTGGCTACTAAATAAACTGCCAAAAGTACCCAGGTACTGAATACTCCGAACAGCAGAGGCAATCGCGACTCGCCTTAAACAACCAATGCTTTGTCCAGCCACTATTACTGCCTTACCTTTAAGTGAGAATACAAATTCATGAATTTGTATTATTATCTTGATTAATTTCTCTGTCTGATATGCAGTGTATTGTTATGCTGATGCCACTGAACTGTAATCCGTTGATATTAATATTCATTCGGTGTTATTTAAACTGATTTAATGCTGTTAATAACATTAATTCATTCATTATTTTATATATATATAGAACCTGATGATGAAGTTATCGAAAAGAATATTCTTTATTCAGTATCCATTCTTTTGAAAAGTAAAAACAATAAAATTCGCTTCAAACTATACTCAGTAAAAGGTTAGTTCAGTTCTCAGTTTGGTCCAGCTAGAAGAACTTGAATTTGATGACTGGAAACCAAAACGAAATTTTCTTACATTTATCTATATGTTTCCATAAATACAAACTATTATAATACTGGTTGTGCGTCGGTGGCACAGCGGTAGAATGCTGGTCGACCACACATGTGGTCCGAGATTTGATTCCCTACCGACGTACTCCTTTAACCTCTCTAAGCCAGTAATAAGACTGGTAAAGAGAGAAGGCTGGGCATGAGACTAGCAACTCCATCCCGTAAAAATAAACACCACTGCTATAGAAACTTCAAGCCACTTGCTTGAAGCCCTTGTTCCACTGGGAACGTAAAGGAATAAAAAAAGAATACTGTTTTGACCACAAGCTGATATCGGTAAGAAAAACATTCGAAG